TGAACATGCCTTTCGGATTGAATCTTCCATTCACACGAGCAACATGAGCGAGCAGGAACCGCCGGAGGCTTCTTCAAAAAGTGGGTGCATGCCGATGCATGCACATGCGAGGCAAGAATTTCCTTGTTGCAATTCTGTTGTGCTTGGTGCTTGCTTTTCGGCGCTTGCAGGGCTATGTAGCTCGCAAGCAGCCCAACTTGTGCTTCGATTGCAGGATCTTTAGGCTCAGCATTTGTAGCAAGCAACACGATTTGCCTGGCATGAACCTGTCGGTCGAGCAGAAGATGGTTCTGTTCGTCAATGGCAACCATTGCATCCCCGAACAGAAATGTGTCGACGGGGACACTTTCATGCACTTGAAGAAGTGGGACCGGGCCCTTGTGAAAACACTTACAGGCAAATCCTTGGACCTCCGGTCAGGGAGGAACAATGGCACCCTCAACATTGACATGTGGGATGAGATGCTCAGGGCGAGGCAAGACAAAGCAAATGAACTCTTGCAGGAGGCATTCAATGTGGAAGACGACAATAACAAGCCAATCGAGAGGAAGAAGTCCAAGAAGCTAGAAGTGGTCAAAGCCCTGTCAAAACATGCATTGGTGCTGCCGAAGAAGTTCACCATCTCGGTTCGGGAGCACGATTTCCAGGTGCTCTTCGATGGGATCGGCACGAAATCCTTGTGGATCGAAATGTCCGAAGCGAACTTGACATGGCTCAAGAGTGCCATCGACACGAGTGAGCAGAAACCTCGCAAGAAAAGGAAAACTCGCAGAACCGGAGAGAAGGTGCCGAAGTCCGACGATGAGGATGATGACAAGAATGACCATGACCATGAAAAGAATGACGAGGGCAGCTCCGAGGGCAAGTGAGATTCGGGGGGGATTAGCATCTTCGGTGGCTATCGTGTGCTCTCGATGCTCTATAAGACAGAAGTGCATTTTGTTTGTTGCATGCAGCATGAAAGCATTCATTTCAGACACTTGTCAGATGCTTGCAGACTGTGCTGATTGTCTGCACGTTCCGAGGCTCGAAGGCATGCACATGATGGTTGGGAGCACTTTGCATGCATGNNCCTGCATGTGCATGCATGTACAGTACACACAAGCATGGACCTGCATGTGCATGCCATTTTGGGTCAGATTTTGGCCATTGTGGGTCACATTTTGGCTGCTTCACATTTTCCGTTGAAGGTGTCTAGGAGCCCCGTTGCTGCCATGTCCGTGTACACGATGCTTTGTGCCAAGACACCCTCGGCCTCGGACCCAACAATCTGCGATTTTCATTCGCAGATTTTAACACACTATAGTTTGTCCACACTGAGGATGCAGAGCAGCGGCTCATGATGGACTACGTGGACGTGGAGGAGAACTTCCACCCAGGCTTGCTATCTGTTGCCACACAAACCCT